AAATTTTCATAAACTAGATGAAGACGCTATTTGTAAATACTGACGATTCTTGGGCGTGTCGCGTGCGTCTCTCCTGCGATTGCGTACCACGCGATTATCTTGCGTCAAGTATTGAAACCTCTTGGAGATTGGTGCACACCAGTGTTTTTTCCTCCCTCCATTCCTAATTTACCTCAGTGGCGGGGGGTAGTTCATTTGCTACTAGTTGTGGCGAACTCAACTGAGTGTATAAATAAATAAATACACAAAATCAACCAAATGCTCGCGATGTTAGACCATTTCCCTAAGTGTGTTATTGCTACGCCTCTATCCGATTGCACGGCTATTACCGTAGCGCAAGCCAGTGTCCGATTTCCAGTGTGTATTGAAGTTTGGCGTAATGACCCAGCTTGTCTCAGATAATCCGCCTACTTCAAATGGGAGGTTATGCTCGAATTGGGACGTTTTCTTCGGATTCCCAGGTACGATTGTACTCCCTGCCATCATAAAGGAAACGCATGTGAGCACATTTCCGCTAATTTCATCTAATGCTCCGCACCTAGAAGCTGATGCATAAGTTTTCCTCCCTCACAATTACCACTGTGACAGAATGTCCTGCGTCACAGCTTGGTTTCGCTTCACAATTTCGGCTGGAATGCAAAGGAAGCCCATAACAAGGTAGTGGATACATACGGCGTGGACGTCATCTCTTACCGCAATGCGAAACTTAGTTCTCCAAGTTCAATAAAGTAGACTTTCTTCCGAAGATGCTCACAAGGAAGGTCTTTCAGGGCATGGGACGCTTTTTGAAAATGGTTGTCTGCATGGTGTAGGGGCATGAGCACTGAGTATAGAACTATGGTCCATTTCCGCTAAATGGCCTTGAATGCCAAAAAACGAGTGAAGATGATTTTGACAGAAATTGCCGTCTTAACCCCTTAAACGTCGTTTGTTTCATTCATGGCTTCGACTGTCCGCACAGTAGAAGTCGCCAGTGGACTGCGTATTGGAAATAACATGAAAGGTAGCCAAAAAAGGGGGTCACATGTTGAAACATGCTGAAAAGTACGGGGAACATTCATATACGCTCTCCACGGCCTAGATCACAGCAGCTGCGGTTGGTGTGATGGATAGCGATGAAGAATTCGAGCTGGGACGGTTGGTCTGCGCTGATGGTTCAGATCCTCGTGGTTTTGCCGTTTTTGCATTTTGTGCAGAGCAAGTGCCTGACTGACCGTGGTCGTGACCAATAACCTCTACTGGACGGAATGAATGATTCGCACCTGTTACTTCCACTGGACTTCACAACCCTCGCAGAGCAGAATATGAAATTGCTCAAGATTTCTTTGAATTGCAAAACATTCTGCTTATTTTACTTACTTACTTTCCACTTTCTAACTTACAAACCATTACCACTCTACCACTGTACCCATTATCAATCTCGACATGACTTTTTCACCAGCTAGAGTTATTGGCCGACTACTATCCTCTTTCACGCCTGATTTTCTCCTACAATGAGAAAGGAGATCGCAATTGCCGACGCGTTCAGAGCAATTCTTCGAGNCGCAGAAAATGGCGACGTCGAATATGAGGAAGAAGAGGAGTCGCTTCAGGTAAACCTTACACGGGTGCTGGGAGCAAAGCAACTTCTGCATTGCAACAGTTTATAGGCATCTTTGGACGAAAAAGAAGGGGTCAGCTGGACTCCAGACGATGACGACGATGACCGTAGCAGCACTGAAATTCCAGCCCAGCGAAGCGTTTTCTTTGACGGCAGACCCATTTTTCAAGACACTGTTAGTTTTAGCACTGTCTAACAAAAGCTCAATGTGAATTGCTGTATCTCGACAGATTCGCCGCACCATTGCCCATTGTGATACAGACAAGGGTACCCGTTCTTTAGTGTCCATGGCGAACCGGTTCAAGTGGATCAGAACTGAACGGCATCTAAATTTGCTCCGTGAAATCGAAAAAAGAGGTATCCGATGGCAGTTGCTAAAAAAATTAAACTGATGAATCAGCGAAGTTCTATTAGCTTCCCGTTTTTTAACCTAGGAATGGTTGAAGAGTCGGTGCTGAAGAGGGTGCTTAATTTCAAACGCCTCTCTGCTCTTTTTCGAGAAAGAGTGATGGAAGCAGCTGAGCAAGGAATGATTTTGAACGTCCGTGCTGGAAAGTAACTTGCACGTTGACAAAGTGCGCCATGTTACATGGGCCTTCTAGGACTCCCGTTGTCGTACGCTGTAGTTCGACACATGATTGCTCTCCTGAAACGTGAGCACAGGCTCATTGAAGACTTCAGGGCATCCAAATCATGGATTGCCGAATTCGTTCGAGAATGTGGGCTACGCATGGATTGCCGAATTCGTTCGAGAATGTGGGCTACGATTAAGGCGGGTCACGCGTTTTGTGACCACAAAGAACATACGTTGCAGACAGGAGGTGGAGCAAGAGGCAACTGATTTCGTGAAACGCGTAAGGGAAGAGATGAAGAAGTACCCCCTATCTGCCTTTTCCAGTGCGGATCAGACGGGGATTAACAAAGAATTGGAGTCGGAAAGGTAATCCTAAGCACGAACTACGTTCGCTTTGATGATCTCTTCATTACAGAACGTTGGCACCGGTTGGCTCAAAGCAGGTCATGCGAATGGTGCAGTCTGTCTCCTCGCTCACACACTCGTTCACTGCCATGCCAGTGATATATGCAGACGGACGGCTAGGAGAGAAACCGCTCGTTATTCTTCTCGAGAAAAAAGGCGTCTTCCCGCAGATGGGACATTGGCAGGCACCAAACCTGCTAGTGTTGGGGGGAAAGGCTCACATCATGACGAAGTCGCAAGTCCCAGCTTTCGTCAAAGAGTGTGTGGTTGGGCCATCGTCCCCTCCACGAACAGTACTTCTTGTCGACAGCTGGGCTGGGTTTGCGGACCTTACCGATGTGTTGTCAGAGGTCCCTGGAGACAAGGAGCTCCGTTTGATGACTATTCCACCGGGAGCGACTGCACTGTGTCAGCCTCTGGATGTGTACTTCTTCCGACTCTTCAAGCGGTACATTAGGCGGCTCCACGACCACGTGGCGCATAATCACCCTGACTTTACCTTCACCAGAGACAACGTTCTCAAAGTAAGAATTTTGTGTCAAAAATAATGGGTAACCTTCCACTTATTAACATGTTGCGTACCGGCGCCCTCTGCGACTTTCCTACACGCGTGGCCAAGCGATTTTTTTTTCGGCTCGCGGCGTGCATCACCATGTGATGCACTTGGCCACACGGAACGGTTTTTTTTCTAACATTGTGAACTCTCTACTATTGGAACCAATTTTTTTCCATAATGCTTTCGCAAATGGAGAACAATTCATCTGTCTAACACTCTGTGATTTAAGATATATTTTGTTGGTTAACCCTTTGACGACCATGGCACCCGCCGGCGGATGCCACTATGACCAGCGCATGGGACCATGGCACCCGATGTTGGGTGCAACCATGTTTTTTTCTTTATTTGCACATTTGAAACTTATTTGATATTTTCATCATTAATAACTAACTTCATGGTATTTATAATCAACATGGTCCACATTATTGTTTTACTAAAGCTTATTTTTTACAAACGTATATATACAATGGGGTATCACTGAAGAAAAAACCTAGGTATTTCCGCAAGATTTTTGTTCATCCTGGAAACATTGCAGACAGTAAAAGCCGTAACAACTGTTGCACTGTATTTTCACTTTCTTAGCAGGCGCATTAGCAAAGCATAATTTGATACTAAAGAATCTTAATGTAATACGCATTTTTACTGTAAACATTATTTCCAGAATTTGTCCCACATTGCTTCCGAACTCCATTTTCAAGCCTTATTTAATTATAAAGGTGAAATAATATTTTGATAGTTCCATTTCAAGCGAAGTATTGCTAAACTTATTGAGTCAGAGAAAGAAGTTCTTCCTGGGACCATGGCCCGCCGGTGGGTGCCAGTCGCGCCCGAAAGGAAAGGGGCGTGGTCCCATGGGCGCGTCACGTCGAAATCGGCATTGTCGTCAAAGGGTTAACTGTGTGTGCTAAATCTATATCTAATAAGATCTACTGAGTGCTAAATCTTGCGATAACAATTCCAATCGGCCGAAGTTTCTTGACTTCAAAGTGTTCCTACCAGGCGAAAGGAGCGCTTCTTTCCACACATCGACTTTGTGTCCCCTCGTCTCATTCCAGGAGAGCTCTAAGTCCAGTGAGTTCTGTTACCGATTGCGGTAGTATTCCAGATGGAAGCTTTGGGGAAGTCATTCGTGCAACTGCTTATTGATAGCGATGAAGAAGCAGACAATGAAAATGTTTCGGGAGCCCCTGATGGTTTGTTCGCTGATGCCGTTGAACCAAGTGATGACGAAGATAGTGAAGGGGAGTCTGACGCCGGTTGGTCCTCGACTACAGTTCAACCAAGTGTAGCACCTTTTACCGAAGATAGATTCAGCATTCAGCAATCTAATGAGTTTCTACAAGTTATTCATGACAGATGAATTGGTGAAACAAGTGAATCCGTTATGGATCCGCCAAGTATTCGTCTGTGCTCGAAGAGCAGGAGCTCTACAAGTTCTTGGCCATTTGTTTTCATATGAGCATCGAGAAGAGGTCTAGTCTCAAAGAATACTGGTCTACAAGAATTATATACAGCGGA